TTTCTTTCGAAGGACAAAAACGATTATTAAATTTATCCTAATTTCATTTTTTAATCTTTAGTTGTCTAATTAGCATATATCATCCAGTTTGTTACCATTGGATTATTATTACAACAAAAAATACTAGAATATAATATTTAAAACGTTATACAAGTATTTTTAATCTTATTATAGTAAGAGTTGACAAATTCGGAAAATGATTCATCCGGATGAATTATACAATATACTATATTTGTATTTCTGATTATAGATCATAAACATTTCAAAATTGTTAAAATTCTGATTTAAAAAACAGTTTCACAGATTTAAATAATTTTCTTTAATTCCAAAATTTTTAGCTTAGTTTATTTTTAAAATATGATTTATATTGATAATTAATATGTTAAAATTAATAAAGTACAGTATATTATGTTAAGTTAAATCATGCACTTAATTCACTCTTAACGGAGGTTAGGTTCATCATGAATATCATGAAATTAGCTTTTAATAGTAAAATTTTCAAGTATATTCTGTACTAAACTGTCAGTAAATGAATTCTAGATAATCAGGAATTTCGTGAAATTTACTAATAATTCAGTGTAGAATAAACTATTGATATTAGTAAATGAAGTTTGTTCTAAATTTTAATGAAACTTTTATATTTTGAGGTATTATTAATTATACATATAATACAATCAGTATGTACGAATATAGTTAATTGTAATTTTATCATAATTAAAAACAAAAAAAAAAAAAAAACGGAAAAAAGCTGTTAAAGGAGTTTTGGCCTCACTGAACAGAAAAAAGGTACAGAGAAGATAAATGTGATCCTGTAAATTGTACGATTAGTAAATGTTTTTATGTGACACTTACAAAGTCTTGTTTCTAGAAGATAGCAAATTGTATTTACGTAAATTGTATGGTGCAATAAGTAAATTCTTTAGGATTTAAGTTTGTTTGTGTCTCTTGTTTAAGCAGCTTTATTAAAGCGATGACAGGACGCTTTAAGTGATTTCCGTTACTAGAGGATGGTTTATTGTCTGTGAACGACAGCCACAGTTTCGTGTTGCACTTTTGCTCTATAATTGGAACATAACGTTTTAAAACGTGACTTTTTTTCAAATTTCTTTACTCATTGTTCATATTTTAATGTTATTCATTAATTACGCGATATTAAAATAAATATTTATACTTAATTAATTAAATTTGTCAATCTAAAACAGTGAATTAATTGCAAGTGTCGTGACTTAATTGAAATTAATACAGTTTGTAGAGTAGACAAAGCGTGTTGCTAATTACATTTAAGTTTGTATTACACTTACTGTTCATCTAATGTTAATTATAGGCTTATAAATGTATTTAGGTGTTAAATCACACTTAATGAACTTAATATTATATATAAGTTTATAAATATAACCTCTTAAATTTGATGTAAAGTTCTATATAATGTTATACATGAATTAGTAGACTTATTTAGTGATCTAATTGCAAAATTATATAATTATTTAGCTCTATAGCACATATGTTAGGTATTAATTGAATAGTTGATATTGTTAATAAACATATACAAGTAATACCCAAAGTATAAACATTAATATATAAACCACATGTCTAGGCAAAGAAAGAAAGAAAGCCGCAGACAGAAAAAATGTGTTTGGCTCCAGGTCCTTAGATAACATACCGAATCTTCTAACCAATCTGTGTTACATTTTTTTTTTCTGTTTACATCTTNACGAACTCGAATTATTATGGCATAATATTTAAAATTTAAGTCATTTGTAGATAAATTATATATTTTAATCATTTAATTTTCGATATTCTAAAGATTAGGGCCACTAATTAATGAGTTTTTTCATGTATAAGAGCGCATAAATAACTTCTTTAATGATTACTTTTACTCTCAAATAATTATAATTTTTGATTAATTATTATATAGAAAATTATATATATTTAATCCAATTTTATAAAACTATCAAATCCATCTTTTTAATGGAATTCAATTGCATTTTTTATTATCAAATTATCAATAGTTGAAGGGTATACAAAGCGAGTAAATATTTCGCTCCAGGTGGTGTTAAGTGAAGTTGCTCTTGCTTGGTGAACTGGATAAAGAGGCTTTCTTGTCAACCGTCTGATAGATAAAGCCAAAAAGTAATAAATGCCATAGAGACCACATTGGGTGATGTTGATTAGTTCCCGTTTCTTTCGTCATTTGAACACACGTGCCTGTCCTTTCAGTTAATATTAATAAATTATCCGTTGAGGATAAAATAAATTTAACACCAGAGAATAGTTGATTTAATACTTCGCTATTTTCTTCGTTTATAATTAATTTAAAACGTTAAAAAAAGAGAAAAAATTATATTTTTAAAATGTCCCCTTTTTAACTTTAAATACCGTACTTTATTTCTAAAAAAAAAGAACTAATTTTAAAATATTTATTATTATAAATTTTAGCTTAATTATGTATTATATATTCCCTTTCTTTAATTATCCTTAACATTTAAAGTATATTTTTAAAATTTTATTTATTATAATCATAATTTTTTAATCATAAATAGAAAATTTGTAAATTCAAAGTGTCATTACAGTCATTTAATTGCATAAAATTTATGAGTTTTATTCAATTTTAACGAATGTAATTCATGTTTTACTCTAATATAATATAAAAAAATGTAGTAATTTCTATTTATTTATTTTAAATTAGTTACAAATTTAATATAGTCTATTTAAATAAACGAAAGAATCAGGCTTAGAAGTAGTCAGTAAGACAATTTGCCTAGCCTAAAATTTAACTTTTTTACATAAAAAAACATGATATAAAAGTGATATAAATTAAAAATTTCTTTCTATAGATGATTAAAAATCTGCTTCTTATTTATTTTATTTATTTTTAGGGCTTTCGAAGAGAGCGAGCCTCCATATTTATCTCTCGGCTTTATTTCATTTCTTTCAAGCCTTAATTAATAAAATTAATTCAAAGCATTTATTAGTAAATTAGTTAATAATAAATTAATTAACTATTTATTAAAATAATTTTAAAGCAGTTCGAATTAATTTTTAAAATGTTTTTAATATAAAATAATTTTAATTAGAAGGTTTATTTAAATTTGAGTTAATGTTCTTTAGTTGAATAATCAAATAATCAATTAATCAGATAAATCAATTAGTTAATATATTAAAAAATGAAATAATAATATTATAAATTAGTATTTTAATGTGTTTTTCTACCTTTTAATTTAAAAATAAATGGTTTATTTTAAATTTGTATGTTGTATAACATAGCCTATATAAAGTTTTACAGAAACACGAATAATGAATCGTAAAATTTTATTAGGATAAATCTGATACTTGAGATAAATATATTTTACGTAAATTATTTTAATTTTAGATAAATTACATCCGCTAATGACCTTACTTCGACTCCATATTGTCGCAATATTCTGCCAACTGGCAACATCCAATACGAATTCTTATACTCTACTCAATACAATGGAATGTTAAGCTTTACGTCAACTTTACGGAAAAATAACACGAAAGATCACCTGAATTTAGACATTTTTAAACAATTTATTTATAAAATTATACGCAAATTATAATTAATTTTAATTAATTCGACTATAAAAAACTAAAAAATTGACATTTTATAGGCGCATATTTAGTTCAACGTTATAGTTTTAAAATACTCAAAATCTATTTTGAAAAGTAAAAATTACCTTTAAAAATATTTTAAACAATTATTTAAATGTATTTGTTTATAAATTTACAGACAAACTGTCGTTAATTTCGAATAATTATATTCTAAACTACTAAAAATTGGCCTTTTATAGGCGCACATTTTGCACCACATTTCAATTTAATATTGTTTAAAATCAGTCTTAATAAGTAAATATTAACTTTAAATTATTTCAAAAAATTATTTATAAGTATAAATTTAATAAAATTAACTTTATTATATTTTAAATATAATAATTAATCAGGTATTATATTAATTCTGAACATTTTATATGCTTGTATCTTATAGACATGTTTAGAAATGTGGAAAACGAAATGATACATTTAAGCTTAGAATAGTTCATTGTTCGCTAGTTAAATTTCAACAACAAATTGTTGGAATAAATCCAAATGCTATCTTCCATCTTGGCAGTTGATGGTTTGAAAAGAGCAATTGCCTTCTAAGTAAAAATCTGTCATAAGAATAATATCAACTTTTTTCATACTTAATTTAACTTTACCATCCCAATCACCATTACTACCGACATTTTAATATAATTTTACATATAAGCTTACATAATTAATTGTATTGTTTAATATGAGGAATGCATTATAAACTAAATGCCATTAAGTGTCAGGAAGATTTACGATTTAATTATTTTGATTTTACAGCTATTTATCATTGTTTTAATGGTAATTTTAAGGTCATTATCAATGAACAGTTTTAAAATATACTTGATTCTTTCATACAAAGTTTCTATACTGTGACCTATTTTTAAAATAGAATTATCTCTTAAAATTTAAGATTTTGTGGTTTTTAAATAAATTTATTAAATTTTTAATTAAAATACGAGCGAATATACATTAAAAAAAAATGTTAATGACATACGAGAATGCATAATTCAACTCTGGCTTCAATTAATGACATAAGAGAATGTTTGTAGATTACTAATTATTTAATGCTCTTAATGATAAATTAATGTCGATATATATGAGATATTTTATCGCATTTTAAAACAAAAATCTTTAAAGATCAAAAAATGATACATTTTTTTTAAAAAAATATACAGATTTCTGCTCTAATTTATGAGCTTAAATCTAAGAATTTTGCTGTAATTAATGAAAAACTAGACGACTTTTTACACGGCAACACTTAATTTTTTATCAATTCATTTATCATTTAAAGTAACTTTCAGATAATTCTTTAAAAAAATAAATAAATAAATAAAGTTTACAAGGAAACGATTCGAAATTTATAACGGAGATGTCAATGACATAAGAAATAAAGTACTTAAAATTTGACTTACCTGCGGACAATCTTTTATATAATGTCCTTTCTTAAAACACAAGTGGCATAAATAATTAGGAGGAGGTTTTTTTAAAGGTTTTCGTTCGAATCCTAAGTTCAAATCCGAAAAAAGGTCAGATAAATCGTTAATATTGCTAGGTCCTATTTGACCATTATAACTCCCGTTTGTATATCCAGTATAATTGGGAGACTGTTGCATAGTATTATAAACTGGAGGCATACCATATTTGGACTGAAAATATTAAAAAAATTACATATTAAATTACAGTTTTATATATTCAAAAAATTAGGAATTTCAATTTAAAAAATATATATAAATATATATATATAGGCTATATACAGTACACTTATAGGCTATACTGTACTATAGCTAGAGTAATTTTAGAGATATTAGTCTATATTATACTCTTAAAAATCTTTAATAATAAATTTAATTGCAATTTAAAGTTAAATGCACTTAATATTTATACAACAAATTCTATAATTCTGAAGGAATTACTAGAAATGTAACATAATCCTACCAAACAGCGGCTGGACTAATAGTGTACCAAGAAGGTGACCTTGTCAAATACACAAAATATTCTAAACAAATCGAAATTTGATAACTTTAACAATTAATTTTTGATATTTAAATAATAATTATTGTTTATTAGAGTTTTTAAATGGTTTTAATGTATTAAAATATTAATTTGCATACCTTAATATAGATACTAATCAAGCAAAAAATACTCCTAGAGTTGAGTGAAGTTTTAAAAAAAATAATATCATTTTTCATAATTAGTTACAAAGTTTTCGGTGTATGTAACACTTTATTGTTTCAACTTTTATTTTATTTTATTTATCGGTTAGAATAACCTCGAGTTTCATGTTTCATTCACCTAAATAACTTTTCTGATAGGTGATGCGCTTTATAATATTACATTTAAACTAACGAAAGTGATATTTACTCACTTGATCATTGGACGGAGGTTGATCAGTTAAAGTCAAATATACCCAGTTCAATAATTGGGCTGGCTGGTAGAGCGAAGAACTAGCATCGATGGACGATAGAGAAGTCATTTGGGGTTGTAAACCGCCAGTTTAGGCGGACTTCTCCATCTGTCCAAGTTAATCCCTATGCTAGCCTTGTAGCTCCCAAGATTCCCTATACATAAGAGGTGGGCCAATCCGCAACTGTTTTAAGAATGTGAAGAGATCAAATTACACCAAGGGCGCCACACTAGAGGGAGCTAAAGTGGTACAGAAGAACACATGAAACACTGTCGACTTTTGTCTTTTAGATTACAGAAGAATCATTCAATTCAAATATGTTCACTAGTTGACTTTCAATAAGTGTTTTGTTTTATATTTTTCTTCTTGTTACAACTGACGTCAATTGTTTCAAGAAACAATATTATACTTTTTAGCTTCTTCTATATAAAAATATCGATGATAAACTGATTTTTTAAATAATTTTTTCATTTTTAAAAAAGTTCTTAGCAAAGCCACAAAGATACACAAGTCTGTACCTATTTCATTTGTTTATATATTAATTTACTCACACAGTAAACAAATCTATGATTTCATTTCACTGATAATTGAGTAAATATCACACTGGATATGTTGCTTAATAGCTTATATTGATTTATTTCTTAATATACGAACTATGTAAATCTTGCTCTATGTATTGATAAAAGTTGAAGCTAATTTAATATAACTTGTACTTATTATTATAATTTTTTTTATATAAAATAACGTTATTTTAAATTATTATTTATAGAATATTAAACCCATAAACATATATGTTTTCACTATTTATCGAATAAATTATATTGTATTCTATGAATATAATCAGCTGTAGAATATGTTCATTTGTCTAGTACTACTACAAATAATGTCTGTGACCTTGATTTATAGAATCTTGATATCTCTTAACGTTTACAACAACATGACATTTTACACTCATACGCACTTCTTAACATATTTCTAAAACATTAAACTTACATACTGGATGTACAACTGCACGCATATACATATACAGTATATAGCCTTTATATGATTATTTTATTTTTATTACTCTTAAAACTAATTAAATTTTAGTAAGAATAAGAATATAAATGTGAAGAGAATGGTAAAAAAAAAAATAATAATAGTTCAAAACTTTGTGATAAACTTAGACTATAAGTATAAATTGTAATTTTATCATAATTAAAAACAAAAAAAAAAAAAAACGGAAAAAAGCTGTTAAAGGAGTTTTGGCCTCACTGAACAGAAAAAAGGTACAGAGAAGATAAATGTGATCCTGTAAATTGTACGATTAGTAAATGTTTTTATGTGACACTTACAAAGTCTTGTTTCTAGAAGATAGCAAATTGTATTTACGTAAATTGTATGGTGCAATAAGTAAATTCTTTAGGATTTAAGTTTGTTTGTGTCTCTTGTTTAAGCAGCTTTATTAAAGCGATGACAGGACGCTTTAAGTGATTTCCGTTACTAGAGGATGGTTTATTGTCTGTGAACGACAGCCACAGTTTCGTGTTGCACTTTTGCTCTATAATTGGAACATAACGTTTTAAAACGTGACTTTTTTTCAAATTTCTTTACTCATTGTTCATATTTTAATGTTATTCATTAATTACGCGATATTAAAATAAATATTTATACTTAATTAATTAAATTTGTCAATCTAAAACAGTGAATTAATTGCAAGTGTCGTGACTTAATTGAAATTAATACAGTTTGTAGAGTAGACAAAGCGTGTTGCTAATTACATTTAAGTTTGTATTACACTTACTGTTCATCTAATGTTAATTATAGGCTTATAAATGTATTTAGGTGTTAAATCACACTTAATGAACTTAATATTATATATAAGTTTATAAATATAACCTCTTAAATTTGATGTAAAGTTCTATATAATGTTATACATGAATTAGTAGACTTATTTAGTGATCTAATTGCAAAATTATATAATTATTTAGCTCTATAGCACATATGTTAGGTATTAATTGAATAGTTGATATTGTTAATAAACATATACAAGTAATACCCAAAGTATAAACATTAATATATAAACCACATGTCTAGGCAAAGAAAGAAAGAAAGCCGCAGACAGAAAAAATGTGTTTGGCTCCAGGTCCTTAGATAACATACCGAATCTTCTAACCAATCTGTGTTACATTTTTTTTTTCTGTTTACATCTTGGTTTGTTTGGGTGGATATGCGGTTTACATTCTAGAGTTTGTATGTTGGATGCTATTTTTTGTTAACGTTTATATTGTATTGAAAAGAATTGTGATATGCTAAGTAATGGATATTTAATCATTTTATGCAAATTAATAGTGTCGAAAGCCAAGCATTAGCAAAGCACGGGATTCTTTTAAGCCTTCTCTAAGGACGAAGCCATTTGCAAAAGTCACATATCTTTGAAACCAATTCTACTTCATATTAAAATACCGTACGTTTCAGAAAAGTGAACTAGTTAACTTGAAATAAAAACAGTCAAAAAACTATCTCATAATTTGACAGTCAAAAACATAAATAATAATAACATAAATAAATAAAAACATTAATAGCAGCTTTTCAAAACTCTCAAAGAAAAGTGAAAGACAGAAAACTCTTCCTACAACGTTGCTGCCAATCATATTCTGATCGATATTGACTCGACTGAGTCGAAATATTGAGAAACAGTGAGAAACGTCAATAAGAAGAAAAATATTATAAATCAATATTTAATATTCTACTTTTATATATAAATCAAATTTTGAACCCTTATTTGAAGGTAAACGTNAGAATACGAAAATGAAAGCACAGGAAACAAAATCCATCGTGATGTATGCGTACGACAATAATAAGCACAGGGGAAATTGCTTACCCGGAAAGGTACCCAATAATTGATATATTGTCAATTAAATAAATACTTTACTTATCACACATCTTTACTACACTTTATTGGCGCCCCATCTGTTCACAATTTTATGTGGGCTTTTTTCATGGAAACTTAAAGTACTTTAATTTCTACATTTCTACTTTAATTAACTACTGTAATTATTAAATTCTAAATAAAAGTAATATTTTTATTTAAAATTTAATCTCATTTTAAAAAATTCTTCATATTTTTTCTCCAGAAAGAATTTAAGTAAAAAGAATTTTTTCAATTTTGTAATTTTGAAGGTTTTTGTGAACCCTGTCATGAACGTTTTGTTACCACGATTCCGTAGGAACTAATGAAGATAAGCGATTTAATAGAATCCCGAACTTAATAATTATTTTTTGAAAATATTTATTTTGTTTAAATTGTTATTGTTTTTCCTTCTGAATAAACTTTGTTGATAAAAAGCTGTTCATTTTTATTTCTTATATTTTTCCTTACTAAAATTACACTGAAGAGCATTAAAACCTTCTTCCCACAGGCCACTTACGTATAGCAATGACCAGTGGCCGAATGGATAAAACCACTGAACACTGGTAGTTGGTGGTGGGTTCGCATCTGGTAAACGGGCTGGTCAAGTGGAGTTTCACGTGTTTTATTTACGTTTGTAACGTGTAAATAGGTGTCCCATAGAAAGTCCTTTTGGGAGGCTTGCTCCCCCATATATCTCGTTACCGTATAAAAACAAATTGTATAGCAGTGAATTAATATACTTATAACATAGCAAGATTATTTAATTATACTCGAGAAACTCACAACGCACTATCTTAAGTTATAGATAACAATTTAAAATATAGGTAATACCTATTTATTCTCATAAATGGAAGGTGAACAGTTATCTACAATTATAAATATCTATGTACCTGAAAATGTTTGAAATAGCTTAACATAAAAATTACTATATGTGCGTATTTTTCTGTGTGGACATTTTTCGGTAGGAGAAGTTTTACGTGTGCATTTTTCTTGTGTGGTACGTGACAGCGAAATTTTTCTGCGCGCAATTTTATGTTGGCTTTTTTCATGGAAACTTAAGTAAATATTTGGTTTTATCTCTATTGTTAAGAATGTACAGACAAACTTCGATTTATGAAATTACCACTAAATCAAGTTTATCGTCAAACTAAAGTACCTCAAACAATAGGATTTATATATATATAGTAATGAGGTCTGTATACAGATTTGAGTTTTTGAGAGTTTAAAAATCAAATGGTTTGGTGATAAAAGAAGTGCAATTTGAGATACAAAATAGTACATTTAGTAATTCATTGATACTGAATGATTTTCTACGTAGTATTTATAGAATATCTGTATAAGTATCTGTTCACAAGTATTTGTTGACACTTTTCAAGGATAGCACTATTTAGGAATATTACATCGAGATTTGACTACGTTTTCAAATAAATATTTAGGCTAATGTGATAAACGAGTAATTTTACTCCTTTACTTTGTTCAAATGAACAATTTTGATACATCATACCATCACTCATTTGATATAATGCATATTTAATCTATAAAAATATATCTTGCCTACATTACACACTGATGTTTAAAATTAAAACAACAAACTCAAAACTTGTGTAAAATCAGCACCATAAAACGTGAGTATCTGAAACTTGTCATATGTAAATCAATTATCAAGAGTATCATCCTATCATGCAAGTGTTATGAATTGGTAGGGCTTGAGCTACTAGGCTATACAGCCCCCTAAGTGTCATTCAAATCAGACAGGATAGTAGAACACCGCAAAGATGCAATGCGCTATATATATACAGTGAAATAGTTTACCGGTCTGTGGGACTGTGGATCGAATCGGGATGGGTCGAAAAAGTCGGGAAGTTGTGGGTTCGGTCAGACCCCTGTTGTGGGCCTGACCGAACCTGTAATGGGCTTGCTAAAAGCCCATTGCGGGTGCCCTGTGGGCTCTCTTAGTACCCACAGGGAAAAAAGAGCAAAAAAAAAAAAACATCAATAGCTTATCAGATATTCCTCAAAGAAGGCATTTGGATGATTCATTGAGATGGAGAGCCATTCACGTTCATTTTTGCGTTTTTGCCAAGTACATTTTTGTATATGTGGCTTTAATTTTGGACACGAGGGTATATCGAGATTTGACTGTATTATTTAAAAATTTACAAGTCATTCCTTCATTTATTTCAAAATATAATTTATTTATAGTTTTCATTAACTTACAAATGAATTAAATACAGTTTGATGTAATTTATTAACTTCAAACTGGATAAGTAATAAAACATTATAAATTTTCACAATTAAAAATATCTTATATAATTAGAATATAATGTTACAAAGGAATGTAGAGTCGGAGTCAGAGTTGGAAATCGAGGAATCGATTCTTTTTATGGGAGTTGGGAGTCAGAGTCGATTTAAAAAAATACCGACTGGGAGTCAGGAGTCGTGTATTTTCCGCGGACTCCTCATCCGTAATGTTACATATTTAAATAAATAGATTCAAGAAGAAATTTGTATTTTATATATTATTAGGTTAAATTAAGTTGAAGATGGATTAAAGATATAAAACTGTAGTGAACTCTTGGTTATCCGGGATACGGGGAAAACATTTCATTCTGGTCAATCCAGGATTGTTTAAATCTTGTATCCGGTAAAGAAAACAGGCAAATTTTAAAAAATAAAGATAGAGTTGCCAGACATCCTTCTTTTCACAGGCATGCCCCATATTTTACTCTTATTCAGAAGTTTCAGTGTATCTTTATTTGGAGATCTTCGAATGCCAGGCATATCTCTACGAATGCAAAGACGGTAATTAAAAATCTCTGCAAATAATTATATTAAATATAATTTAATACGAGAACAAACTAATTTTCGATGTAGATGAATGCGAACTTCTACTATTCTATTTTGAATTTTTCACTTTTCCAAACTTCGCAATTCATTTGAATACATCCTCTATCGATTTATTATTATGTTCTATTGTTTTTTTCGTTCGAATATCTGTTGACGTTATTTCTAAAACAAATTGAAAATTAATTCATTTCTACTGAATGGGACTTTGCCTTTTTTTTTCCTTTTTTTTTTGCCTTTGTTTTGGAATTTGAGACCATTGATGTGATGACTCGTAGTGGGCAAGGTTAGTAGAAATTAACCAATAAAAATATTCCATGTGTCGTAACAATGTAAGCAATTCAAAAATGCATCCCGGATGCAAATTTGTTTATACAACTATTACAGTATAAGCAGAACTACAGTCAGTTTGCATTATGATTTGTTCACAGCGCTGTTCTGTTACGCCCGAACTGCCATTGAACGGTGCTAAAACTTTTTAATTTTTAAACAAACGAACAATTTCACTCCTTCACAAACAAATTACTTTTTTATATTTGTAAGAATTGTGATATTACTGAAATGTTTACAATTTTTAAATATGTGTTTTATACTAAATTTTTATGTAACTATCATATTTTTTTTATGTTTTAATTAACAAATACTTTACAGAATTTTAAAGATGTAAAATGAAAATTAAAATCTATTTTCAATTTTGTGATTTCATATTTTCTTACTTAATCCACACAAACTTACATTCATTTTATATTTATAGTCATGTAAATAAAAATGACAAGATATTCAAAATATTTCAGTACGAAATAAATACGAAAATATAATTTTTACAAATAACTAAAAATGGATTATAATTGACAAGACTATGTCTTGTTTATAAAATCGTACTGCCTGCTGTGTTACCAGCTTAGAGATATTAAGAAGTACATGTCAGGAGTTGCAATTTGAAACAGAGTATTAGGTGCCCAAATCATGCACTCATAAAAAAACCAAGACTTGTAGGAACTCAGGGACCGAGAACCGAGTCAAAATAAAATACAAAATGGCGACTCTCTCTACAAACAAGCAAACCGAAGTCAGATGGTGAGAGTACCACCCACAGTCGTTCTAGGAAGTGGACTCTGACTCTAGGACTGAACACATAGTATTTTCTTTGTTAAATAAAATTTCTAATCTAATTTTGTAAATTTTGGATTGATTCAAAGAGGACATTAAAACAGGGTTTTATGTCGTTACAAGTAGGTTTTTTAACATTATCTAGTACAGTATAGTAAAATCGTGGGACCGATAAAAATTTGACGTTATATTAGGGTTGTCGTTACATCCGATGACGTTATAATTGGGTTAAACTGTATATTGTTTGTGCAAAATAAAAAAAATAATTTCGGACGATACAATAGCCACGATTATTTTTTTCAAAAACGGGAAATTTTCGTTACGCATCGACAAAAATTCAACTCAGGCCGAAACGCAACGGAGAGAAATTTCGAAATTGGACAGATTTATTTCATTGAAAATGCATGGTGGATGACCTCGTGGTCGTGGCCGGCGAAGTTTGAACGATCGCGCCGAAAAGCAGCGATACCAAAGAAGATTGGAGAATGAGAACAAGACCCACCTTGAGCGTCAAAGTGATTCCGCTCAGTAGTGAGTCTTCGAGAAGTCTTGTCCCAAATACGGTTTTGCCGTTTTACTTGTTTTAATTTCAGTGGAGGATTAGGGACTTTTAGAACATTATGCACGAAGGTGACTGAATGGTCGGACAACAGACAACTCGTTTTTTTTTAACTCTTTCCGCACTGAGCGCACTAAGAAAGCCTTTTTTTGCAAGCCCATAGACCCACAATGGGGCGGCCGGGTGGTGAGCGATGGGGCCTGACATACAAACGGACCCCTCCCGAAAAATTCCTGGAGATTTTTTTTAGCCGTCCGGATTCGATTCCAAGACCTCCAGAGCGGTAGGTTGCCACCTTGACCACCCGGCCATCCGTCTTCAACCAACAACGGTTACTGTGGAGACATAACGTAGAATCAGTCTGGGGGACCCGGATTCGAATCCGGAAGGGTCAAAAAATCCCCAGGAAGTTTTCGGGGTAATCCGTCCGGATATATCGGGCCTCGTCTCTCACCACCTGGCCACCCCATTGTGGGCCTGCCGAACCCATAATAGGTTTGCTATAAGAGGTCTTAGTGTCCACAGGGCGGTAAGAGTTAAGAAAAAAAATTATATTAATTTGAAAATAATTTAAATTTTTCATAAGTTTTAATTAAAATATTATTATAATAAATAGAGAGAATTTTATTATTAAAAAAAATAGTAACGAATTCCTTTTTCTTTATCAATCAGCTATTGTCAATCGACAGAGCTCGTTGCATTATGGGTATTAGATTTCGCCATATTGGCAAATTTTATTTAGGCGTATGTTATACTTTTAAACATATATTTAATTTTACGATAAATTTATTTAATTATTTTAATTTAATTTCAAATAGTTAATACGTTACGAAATTTTTTTTTTAGGTGTTTTAAATAGATAGCAACTAGCGCCAACATTTGACCATTATAGTTATTGACTGTTAGCGATCGAGCGACGTTTGGAAATTCTTTGTTGAAATTAAACCAAGTTATTATCAGCGATGAGTGGAAAAAGAGACAGAGATAGCGATTATGACTCACGTAAGCATGCTTTTTATTTATCGCCATTGAAAAATAATATCGAGTTTAATTTAAAGAAATTCGTAGTTTTAACAAGGCCTAAGAATTAGGCTTAGGGAAATGTCTTTTGATAACCGAATAATTACAATAGGTTACTTGTGACGTAACGAAGTTTTCTTATTCTTTTTATTTGTTTTTTTTAAACTAATTTAAAATAATACCCAAATCTTAATTAGAGTTTTATTAAAATATGAACAAACTAAATATGATTGCCGTATAGTTCTATATTGGATTCGAATTTAATAATTTTCGAAGAAATGTGTTATTTTTGGTAAAAATTTGAATTTCAATACTCGTAATCTTCAATATTTGAAGTGTTATATATTGAATTTTCAATTAAATGATTTTTTCTTTTGTAAATTTGATAGTTTTTTTTAATTCTTTCTGCCTTGTGGGCATTTTTAACAAGCCCATTATATGTTCAGCCAAGCCCACTATGGGGCATCCTGATGGTGAGGGATGGGGTGCAACATATCCCCAGGAATTTTTCAGGGGTGGTCCGTCTGTCCCTCACCTTGTTGTGGACCTGGCCGAACCCATAATGGACTTGCTAAACAAGGTCCTCTTAGTGCCCACGGGGTGGAAAGAGTTTAAAAAAATCTGAGAGTGGTAGGCTGCCACCTTGACCGCACGGCCAGATGGCTGTCTGTAATTGGATAGTATGGAAAATGTTCTGTTGTTAAATAAATTATTTGGAAGAAGGAAAAATATACATAAAACTATTTTCAGTTTATAATAATTTACTTTAAAATCATCAAATGATTATAACATTTTTTTTTTACTTTATACAGCAGGGTGCAAAAGTAAGTATACAGTTCTTATTAGAGAGGTTGCGGCTGAAGTTTTCATCTCTAAAACATGAAGGTTGAACATTGAGCGCCACTGTCTTGTAAGCCTAGAAGTTTGACATTGGTGTTTGGAACGTAGAACGTGGCTAGTAGAAGTTTGGCTTAAATGTCTGCATCTTTCTGTGTTTTGAGTTAAAATTATGATGTATTTTATTAAAATAATGATTATTTAAGCATTTATGAATAACATTGTAAAGAAATAGATGATTTTAATCCCGAAATTATTTAATTATTCAAGTTTTTTGCAAGTATGTGGAGTGTCTATAGAATTTTTATATATTTGTGTTCATAACACTGTAGAAGTAGGTTTGTTCTTTCATGGCATTTTCTACCATCAACAGCATAATACATTTGTAAATTTTTAAAAATAATTTCCCAGGCTGCATTCAGATTGTTATCTGCATACAGATTTATATAAGCCACTACTTTATCCTCAATAAAAGTATGTCGCGAGAACAGGCAAAATGCATTGGAATTGTTCTATTCTTATATCATAAGATAGGAGAAATCACATTAATTAAAGTCAAAAATAATTATTTAGTGTTATTAAACATTGTCTAAATATTTTAAAATAGTTTAATTTGTTTATTTACGTTTGCTGGTAACCTTTGTCGTTCTTAGATGTTTTTACCATTTTTCAACAATATCCCTTGAATCAGTGCCATGACATGAATGTGTGATGCAACATGTTTTACTTGGAGTTCAAATGTCAAACTTATACTTCTGCTTGCTGTACAAGTTTAAAGTTTGAACTGTTGCAACCTCTTTATTATGGAAAAAAAAAAACATATAGGGAGAAAATGGGAAGAAAAAACATTTATTTATATGTACAAATTAAATCGCAAAAAAGGAATATGAACTAATAAAAGATGATGATAATGAACACCAAACATTTGCATTTCTCAGATTCTCAACTATATACCTATTTTTGCCACTCCCCTGTATATATATACTGTACATGATGATAGTAAATCAAATACTGTACTATATGTATTTAAATGTTTTGCATGCTTTTGAATATACTGTAATAATATAAAAATAACTAAAAGGACAATTTTAAGTTTGGGATGATTTCTGGTTACCTTGGAGAGATAAAACTACACATTAAATTAATTCTTATGATGAGAGAAACACAACAACACTGTTTGAGTTTCTTGACTTGAAACTGGTGAGAGAAGTTTTAAATTGGGGAACTTAAGCAACCAGGAAAACCTGGTTATATCAGAAATTTGGCAAACTTTAGAAGTTTCAGGAAAATTCGAAAATTTCATGGAATTATTGGAAAAGTTGAAAAAAAATTAGCAAATTTCTGGATAATGTATATAGTATAATTGATAAAATTATAAGACATGCTAATAAAAACATTTATTTATTGTGACATTGTCACAATTCCAAGTTGCAATTTTTAATCATATTGTTAATTAATTTAATTTAATATATATGCTCTCCACCTCAAATTAGTAGTTGCTTTGCCCCCTGTACATTATATTTTACCTTTAACAATATAGTCATTCCAGTCATCTGTTAACTCCTTTCAGGGGAAAGTTTTGAATTGAATAATGTGATTTCCAGTTTGCATCGGAAGTTTGTATATAGCTAATTGGGCCTCCAGCCCCTAAGGTTTCCATACTTGGTCTCTTTTATTATATCTAATTCCGTTCTCGAGATTAAGGAAAGATGAATGACAGTGGGAATTTATAGGTCTACAATTTTTTCAAATTGTAGTCTACGTGGTGTGTTCAAAAAGTATCGGACCTTTGGTCAGCAAAAATAAATTTATTGACTTTGAGGTACAAAACCCTAATCCCCTTCAAAGTAGTCTCCTTGGCAATGTATACAGTTCTCCCAGCGTTCCTGCCATTGCTGGAAACACTGCTGGAACACATCTTTTGGAATGGCCATCAGCTGGTCTGTCGGATTCCGCACGATGTCTTCTCTCGACTAAATTCGGGTTCCTTTTAGCGGCATTTTCAGCTTGGGAAATAGCCAAAGGTCACACGGTGCCATGTGGGTAGAGTACAGAGCGTGACGAACCACAGGAGTATTGTGTGTAGCGACGAAAGCCTGAATCAGATGCGCAGAATGGGCGGATGCGTTATCACAATGGAGCTGCCAAGTTTTGATCGACCACAGATCTGGTCATTTGTGTCGCACTGTATCGGAAAGACGACCGAAGGACCTCCTGGTAGTACTCCTTTGCGATGGTTTGGCCTTGTGGTGCGTACTCACGACACACCACCCCATGATAGTCGAAAAAACTGTCAACATGACATTTGATATTGCTGCGGACCTGCCGCGCTTTTTTTGGCCTTGAGGATCGTCCCCAAAAGCCTGCTGAATCTTGTGAATGGTTTATGCTCAGGTATCGCCAAAGTTTTGGCAAAATTTGATGTAATATTGCTGCTCACGTTGTTCAATCATTTTTCCAGCTTAGTGGAATCTGACGAGAGAGCACTACATGACCTCACTCATAGGCCGATTGCCAACGACTGACGCTTCCTGCAGGCAGGAAAAAATTCAGGGCTGTGCATGACTGTCCCCTCCACAACTCCACCGAAGGAGGCCTCTCGCGCATCATTGGTTTACGCGGAAAAAAAAAGGTCCGATACTTTTTGAACAGACCACGTAACAAAGTAATAAATGGACTTGTTGATATTAAAACACCAATAAGTTGAATTATCATTTCAATGTGTCACATTTCTCTAATAAAACATATTACAAATACGTATATACATATGGTGTCATTGGAAGGTAGGTTTGTGGACAATTGTATGTCTTTACATGGTTTGAAGTGGAAGGATGAACCACTGATAATACTATAGTCTGACTGACAAATGCTTGAATTGAAAAGAAAAATGATGGGCTAACCTAGTTGCCATTAAAAGCTTATTAACTCTGTACAAAATACAAACTGCACAAAGGATTATGGAGGCATGTGAATGCAACATTTCCTATTTTCAGTTGCCATCTAATATGCTAGATTTCAATTGCTTTGAAGTAGGAACATGATAGGAAAAGCATGTCAAGATATTTTAATTGCTTATACCAGGGTTGTCCAACCTTTTTTGCTAATGGGCCAAATTAGAAATTTAGGTATATTCAGCAGGCCACAAAGGTAGTTCATATAATTATGCGCTTTTAAAAAGTTCAAAATGTGAATATCAAATTTTAATAAGAAATATATATAATTACAAAAAATACTGTAATATTGACAGTAAAAAAAGAAATTATACTCTCACAAAATAAATTTAATGCAATTTTTGACATTGCCTTCCTTTTATAATATTGTCAATAATTGCATTTAAGGTACTAGTCTTAATTCTAAGGATGTTAGTTAAATGGGAATCACTCAACCTGTCTCAGCATTTTTGATGTTTTTCGTGCACTAAAAGAATTGTTCACAACAGTATGTACTATCCCACATGCATAACAGTTCTCTAGATAAAACAGTGTTTTAATACCAATTACAGTAAGACCCCGCTTAACATGGGGATACGTTCCTAGATGACAAAGCACTAAACAAAACCGTTAAACAAGGTCATTTTAACACAGTAAATAGGGAAAGGGGAATGTGCAACCAAAAATAAACAGATTTTACTTTAAGTTATTTTTATATTAATTTGTATAATAATATATGTTATTTAAATAACACACAAACATATGCACACACAAATGTAAAGTTCATTTTTTATGATGAAGGTCATTTTTTTTTTTTGTGATAAGGTCATGTAGTTTCATTTGTTTCTTTTTCCCTTTCCTTAAACAAATGTCAGTATCAGGAGATTGCATCCAAAACACCTTGTCTTGCTTTTGCACTCCTTTCAAAATCTGGAACATTCATTACAGTTTGATCAATGATTTCAGTTATTATTACCAAGCTTTTACTAAGGAAATCTGTAGAGAAATTCTTTCGGTTTTTTGTTTTCAGAATCACTATTTTCCAGTTCTACATGAATTCTTTGTTCTGCCAGTTCTTGAAGTTCGTCGTTGGTAAGGCTCTCACCAGAAACCTGCGGTAATTTTTCAATATCCTGCTCGTCTACAACCTGCTGTATCAGTTAGGTTGACCAAATTATCAACCTAACGATACAGCGATAGGTTCTTCTCATTTAGAATTCTTACATACTTTCAGCCATACCTTCTTCCACTCTTCGTTCATGCATTTATCAGCCAAGTTGATATTGTCTATGACATTCATGATGTTATATTTTTTCCAAAATTGCACCACACAAACATAGATTTAAGGAAAGTACAGCGCTATGACGAATTGCCACCTTTTGCTGATACAAATCAATGAAATGCTGTATTAATCTTAATCAGCATAAATTTTGAGTTTTTTTTTTAGGCTTTGGACAGACTGCATTATATCGAGGCAGCGTTAAGTGGGATCTTACTATACATCATTATGACATCAAAATATATCCAGTGAAACAAGGATAATTTTTATGACATACTTTATCAAAATAAATGAAAAGATATCTAAGAAATTTAGGGTGCATTGGGCCACATAAAAATACTAAGTGGGCCGCAGTGCGGGCTGTGGGTTGGACATGCCTGGTTTAGACCAATGGTGCCCAAACTACCAAACACCAAATTTGGCACCTGGACCAAATTCAGCTCACAACACACATTAATCCAGCCTCAAACATATACAACACAAAACATATAAATCATTGAAATAAGCCTATATGGAATATTTATGGCCTGTCTGTCTATTACTTTTATATCCAATTTGGTTTGCCATTTGAAAAGTTTAGACACACCATTAGTTTATATGATATGACAAAATGCAGATAAAATGGCGAAGTTATGGAAGAATTGAACAGTGTGGTTTGTTGGATTAAGACGTGCACAATCTTTTCACTACAGACAAGAAAATTACCAGAATATATAATATGCTTGGATTTGAACAATTACTTTTATAGACCAGATATGTTAGTAAACGAAGGAAGCATTCTGAAATTACAAATTCTTGGATAGTTATAATTGTTTCATCAGTGGAAAGATGCATGAAGTATAGTGTTACATTATGAGTTATGTTGGCTGTTTGCTTAAGACTAAAATTTAGTCAGTGCAACATTTGTAGTACAGGTATCCCTTGTATAACATTGTAGATACATTCCAAGAAAGTGCCTTGTTATGCAAATGTGATATATAAAAAGTTTTTATGGATGACAAAATAAAAATGTTATTAATTGAAAATTTGTTATAGAGGGTCATGTTTGTTCAGTCAAGTATCAAGCGAATTTTTTCCAAAATTTGTATTTGAATACTGAGATATCATTGTATTTCATTTGACATTTTAGAAATGATTGCTTATCTACAGTTAAAAATGTTTAAATGAACTTTACTAAATATGAAGATTAATCTATAAAAACAAAACACAGTGACAGTCTTAAAGGCTATTTTGAAAGCAGTGACAACACTTTGTTGATTGTAAAAAATAATTAAAAAAGTGCAAATATAATTCAAAACTAGAGTTACATTTGCAATTTGTTTCCTCTTTGAAAAATCTACATTATTTTTATACAAAACAAATGCATAAACTGTATAACCGAAATGTTAGATGCAATATGGTATTTTGAAAGTTATGACAAATAGATTGATATTAGTTACAATTAACTCCATTTGGGAAAACAGAATATATTAAATAAGTACTGTTATATTGCTCTTTATGCAGTTGCATAAAAAGTATATAAACTACAGCAGATCTGAAATTATTCTTGGAAAAGAGAGATTGTGTAGACCTGGAAAATCTAGATAATTCAGAGAATTTTTAATTTCAAAAACCAGGCACTATGTAGAAAGAACAGGACAAAAATTGTACTTGTTTACCCTGCCATAGATTGCTTGATTTTTGCATTTAGGTTTTAATTAAAGACACAAATATTGTAGCTTAAACTATTAAAACATGATGCTCTCAAGAATTTGTTGCACTGGTAATTGTTGCTCCTGTTCTTTTGAAATTCTAAAACTGTTTTGGATTAGAACATCATCTGAAAATGTTTTTGATTAGAGCATTATCTGCTTAAACAGTAATGGATGGAATATGAGTAGCATTCTAAAATCAGATACATGATTGAACATATTTAAAATTGATGCATGTACAGTACACTATACAGTAAATACCAGAAGTATATTGTCTCAGCCATCTTAATAATATAGCGAAAGGCTAAGTATTATTAACTATGTAAGTGCTTTTAGGGGCAATTTATAGAATTTACTTGATTTTTGTCTAGTAGTTTTTTTAATAGGATTCCCCCATATCAGGTATTTAGTACACCTGACAGAATCCTGTCAGGTGTACTAAGTCAGTTAATAGCTCTGTATTAGGCTGTACTAGGTCAGTTAATAGCTCTATATTGAAAACAACAGCAAATGTGTAAATGATGTAGAAACTTATTTAATCATGATTGCTTGTATGACTGGGTAGATCATAAAAGTATATACTGTATATTAGGTACAAATTTAATAATTTTCTTCACAGCGGTCCATCAAGGATACTATGCAGAATCAACTAATTGGCCACCTGATATGCCTGACAGAAGGAAAAAACGTAGAAGTCGTTGGGGAGGCGATGATAAGGATAAAGTTTTTATTCCTGGTATGCCAACTGTTCTGCCTAATAACCTTAGTGGCAATCAGGAAAGAGCCTATCTTTGTAAGTATTTTATTTAAAGTCTGAAATATAAATTTAGTAATTACCGTAAAATAAATCTCTCTCCTCTGTTATGAAATAGTTTTTATTTATATTATGAAAGAATAGATGTAGCTAAATATAACTTTTGTTTTCTTAATGTAAATTTAGTATTTAATAAATTAGACAATTTTAATTTTTTCTCATATTTTAAATGTTCAAAAATCGGCAAGTTTTTACATGGGTAAGTATAAGAGTTATTTGTAATGGTTTTATTTAAAGTCTGTTTGAAAATGAGGATTACTTAATGACAAAGATAGTAATTATTCATACAGAATTTAAAATATTCCAGGAGAAGAATAAAAATGCAAAATAAGAGAATCTTTTATCCTGTTGAATTAAATCTCGAATATTAATCATATCCGATATTTGAACATTGCTATCTTATGAAGAATTTCTCATTTTTTTTTTTTTTTTTTTTTGTCTTACAATTTATATAATCTATGTTAAATATTTTGCATGTTTAGAATGCAGTAATGCATATTTTTAAGTATTGTGTTAATTTTTATCAAAAATGTTTAATTGATATAGTTATATTTTACTTAAAAAATGATAATAAAAATAATTGAAATGTCTAATTATATTTAAAGCAGAATTAAAATTTGTATGTAATTAATTAGTTAATTTCAGGAATATATGGACACTCATATAGGGAATTACATATTTACAGAATTTAGCATCTTTCAACAAAGAGTTGTTCGAGTGTCATCTTAACTTGCTTTTATGATCTTATAGTGACATGTTTTTTTTCCCTAACTTACATTTAATTTGGGGGTTTTACCCCTTCTCTAACCCCATCTCTTACAGTGCAACTACAGATTGAGGAAATTAGTCGACGGCTACGAACAGGAGACTTGGGAATACCTCCAAACCCAGAAGACAGGTTTGGCTGTTGGAGCCCAGCATAAAGCTCTCACCTTAATTGGTTTTTTTTCCATTTCTTTTTAAAAACATACATTACTGTTTTGTTATAAAAAGACAAGAATGTATGTAATTGAAAAGTTTGTTAATTAACAAAATAACCTCAGTAGAATGATGTAAAAAAGAATCACTGAAAAGATTTGACAAATTTTGGATTTGAAACTTTTATATTTCTGTATTTTCAAAATTAAATTTGGCACAATTTTTACAATGTCAAATCTGCACTCAGTAAGTGCCTATTGCTTTTATTAATAAAATGTTTAAATATATCTTTTTTTACTTAAGATTTACAGTATATAAATTGCTTATTGAATGATGAAAAAATATTAAAAGAATTTACCATAATTTTTATCATAAAGTATGAAAATTAGTGTTTACAGTATTGCTGCATTATTTTTATACTCATTACAAATACTTCATTCTTTTTTCAAATAATCTTGTATATACTTAAAGTTTCTCTTAAAAATTTCATCTTTAGATATAATTTTATCACATTTAAAAATATTTTATCCTTTCTATAATGTAACTTTTTCAATGTTTAGTATAACACATTTATTTTTTAAACCATATTATAGATTATATATTTTAATATATTAGAGATTTGGGTATAAATTGCATGACACTTTTTCATAGTTTGGTCTTTATATTTATTCAGTACTATGATATGAGTTGAAAAATGAATATGTTATAGTAATAAAAGAGCAAAGAGACATTCTAAGAAAGAAAATAATTTTTAAGAAAAATAAAATTATATTGTTAAAAGAGGGAGAATTATTTTTAAGAAAGGTAAACTTATATTAAAGAAGAAGTATTTTGTAAGTAGTATTATAGCATGAATACTGTAAAATAAAAGTTAAACCTTTTGACCAAAAATACTTTAAAGAATGTTTTTTACCTAACTGTTAATGTTATAGATCCAAATAACTTTAAAATAATAATTAAACTGTGTTCGTAAATGCAGATTTTCACTCCAAACCCATTCTTAATTTTAAAATTGATTTTATTCATAAGTTAACAATCAAATGCCAAAGAATATAACATTAATACTGTTTACACATAAAGATTTCTTCTGCAGATATTTGTATTGTGATTACACAAAACATTTCTAAATTTATATTAAATTTTTGCTCCTTCTGTGATATGCATACTCTTAGCAAATTGACTTTGTTTAAACTTAATTATGATTAGAAAATTCAAAAAAATTCTGTTTTGTTCAAAACAAGTTCAGCAAGCTCAGTTTTTTACATAATACTTTAATTAATTTAATAACCTTACTTTATTCTTAATTTAAGCACATAATACAACAAAATGTAATCAGCATAATGAAATTACTCTGGTCCAAAATTTAAGTCATTTACAGTATAAATATTGGAGATAAATTCTCCTTTACAAAATAAATTATAATATATAGTAGATGTTACCATGCATTATGGCAGTCTCCAAGATATGAAGTGCATAAAATTAGCTTAATGTTTTAGAGATTTTGAGGTTTGTCTCAAAAGTATGAGCAAACATATTAATGTTAGTTTTCAAAGAAACATTAATATAATTAAACAAAATACAGTAGAGCATCGATTATCCAATCAATTGGGGACTGGGGTTGTTTGGAAAATCAATTTTTTGGATAACCAATTATGTATGAAAAAATGCATTATTAATATAGTATATTAGTATATCCCAATAATAGTATATCCCATGTTTAAATTTTTCTCTGTTGCATGTCACTTTGCGTTGAATTTTTGTCAATGTTAAGCCTAACGAAAATTTTTATAATAATAATTGTGGCTATTGTATCATTAAAAATTATTTCTTTATTTTGTACAAGCAAAATAAATATATTGAAAAATATAAAAACAAAAAAATAATAATTCTTTAAGTTAATCTAGTATCAAAAACGTTCAATTCAGCACGTCATAGTCCAACTGGAACACTTTCGGTTAACTGACGTTTCAGTTGATCGACATTCGGATAATTGACGCTCTACTGTATATACAAAAATATTTGTAATTGAAAATATAATAATTGAAATCCAGGTAATAAGCATCCTTAAGCATTAAAAAAAAAGCTGTATATGTAGTTCACAATATTTTCAAATAGTAAAAATTGTAAAATTGAATTTTATTGTATGCTTAATTACTTTGGGACATTTTGTTAAGTATATGTTTACTAAATTCTTATAATTCACAGTATTATTTAATATTCTTATTGATTAAAGGATATGTAACATTTTTTAAAACAAAATTTTAAAAAGTTATTCAGATTTGAAGAACAGGTGGTTTATAAATTAAATTCTAATTTTGACAATTTTTTTTTTTAGTGATTTCTTTTACGGATTTTTAAATTTGACATTTCCCACTTTATATATATTCCATACAAAATTGTTTTATAGGCTGCTTTTTTTTGTGTGGTAATTTTAACAATTTCTATGAATCTATAAAAGACAATATTACTTTCCATCCTGTATTATTGTTTGTAATTCAAATGCCATTTGCTATCAATTGCAGTTAGTTTTAACTTAAAATAAATAATTCATAATTACTCATTTGAACTTATTTATAGCTTTAAACCCTTAAATCTGTGACTTGAAAATTAACTGTTATATTATATGGAAATCGATTATAATTTTATCATTGCTTTCCAAAATAAATTCAAGATTAATTCAGTTCATTGACATTTTTAAAACTTTATTCAATTTAAAATCTATGTGAAATTTTAAGAATTTTATAAGGAATTAATCAGTTTAAAACTTTGAAGTAAACAAGGCTTTTGACTTTAAGGTCATTGATATTATTTACAGTTTGGATAGATTTCAATATATATAAGATTAGATCTATTAAACCATAGTAGAAATATCCTATAATTACATAGTAATTGAAACTATTGGTTTTGAATTATATAAAGGGCAATTTGGATGATTTTTTTTAAATCATAGATGTTATATTTNTTTATAGAAATATTAGTTACTCTTCTTGATTTTCTTGAAATTGTACTCTTCTCAATTCTTCAATCTTGTAAAAAGTAGTACATAATATCATACTTGATGGGAGAATTTTTAGTCATGTTATATTCAAATTTCTTCATATGAGTATATATATAAAATGTTTGGTTGTTGCAATGTGATTTCCAGATATTATTTACAGTTTGGATAGATTTCAATATATATAAGATTAGATCTATTAAACCATAGTAGAAATATCCTATAATTACATAGTAATTGAAACTATTGGTTTTGAATTATATAAAGGGCAATTTGGATGATTTTTTTTAAATCATAGATGTTATATTTGAATGATTTTTGGGTAAAAGTTTGTCAATTGTAATCTGGAATGCTTTTCTACACAAATTGATTATAGTTTTATTTGTTGAATGAAGGCCAGGACTTCAGTATTCTTCAAATATTAGAGAGAGGGTAAAAAATATTAAATTTTTGAACTGATATCAAGTGATCTCAATTGAATTTCTATAAATTCATTCCTTCATAACCAAGAAAATATACCACTAAAAAAAAAATGATTTTTAATAAATGTATTCCTGTAACAATTTAATCAAATTATACAGATCAATTTAGTAGACTAGTTTTAATAAATTCATTCAAATCTTAAACAATTGTGTAAAGTTTATTCATTTACAAAAAAAAATTATATGTATATTGCTGTTCTAATACTCAAAACATTCATTTCTTTACTTTAACATATACAATTCCATATTTACGGGACAAACAATTATACAGGATTTTACATTATTCAATTGTATTGATTAAATTATATACTGTAATATATACTGTATATATAAAGATATAATATATGTTAATTTTAATATTATATAATTTTAAATGTGTAATTATTGAAATTAGTAGATTAGCTGTATAATACATTAAAAATTTAATATATGAAAAAAGTAGTGAAATAGATTTCTCTTAGAATAAGAATATAATTAATAAAAGCAATAGACAAGAATTTCTGTTACCAATTTTATAAAATTAATACTTTATATTTGCCTATAATTGTATAATTAATAAAAAATCAGGATATCTGTAATAAGTAGGTAATTTTTAAAACTAAAATATTTGTACTGTTAGAAATCAACTATAAACATGAAGATTTATAACTTGTATTATTACTTATTAAATATTTTCATAATGACTTAATCTTTAATGCACATTATAACAATCAAATAAAATATTTTAAATTATTAATATAATTATAAACTTAAATGTACATTTAACTTTTACAAAAAATACAAAACATTTTTTATTTTTATATACCCTCATTGTATTGAATACAATAAATTGTTTCATATTATATAACAAAAATTATATGAAAAAGTAATGGGAAAAAATTAATCCATTGTATTGCAAAGATATGTATGCAATATAAAAACTTTCCAATTCAATTTTGTAGGAAAATTATGTGTAAAGGGAAGCCATGAATGCATGAACTTTTTAACATTGAAATATCTGTTTTGAAGAATTGGTATAACAGAATTAATCAAAACAGACAATTTACAGCAATTGATTTTGTAACTTCAAATCCTAACTTAGTTGTTTAAATGATTTATTCTTTATATTTCTTGTTGGGTAAATTTGACAAGCAGTTCTAATTTTTTCTTGAGTAGAAACAAATGAAACACACCCTTGTATTCATCTGTAATATTTACAAAATTTTTGTTACAAGAAAGTTTATTTCTTTAAAATATTTTTAAAATGAATGTTAAGTATATAATTAATTTTTGGGAAAGCCATGCTTTTTGGTAATATAGCATTATTTTCCTCAATTTAAATAAATTTACCTATAACAATTAGCCAATAAATGTATTTCTGCAGTTTCTTTATAAAAAAAAATTAAATAAAAATTACGAAAAACTATTGCAAAGCTTTTCAGATTTGATAGTGAATATTCTAGTAAGATTCATATCATGTCAGAATATCAAATATTAAACATGATAATATAGAAACTTAGTCACATAATATATAGATTTATTAGATGGCAAATTTAAACATGCATTTAATGTTTTGTATCTATTCTCAATACATCATCACTTTGTCTTTTTGTGCATTTCATAATTCACTTACAAATTTAACATTTAATAATATAAAAGCTGTAATAATATATGTGAATTCCTTAACTCCTGCAATTTTTGTCCAATTCAGATGAAATTTTGGTTATATTTGTTTTATTTTCTGACAAAGTATAGGCTATTTATTTTCAGAAATATCAGCTATAGACTAAATGGTTTATCGATTTGGGATTGGTGATCACACTCATATTGCAGTGACATCAATGACCTCATTTTGTTCATGATTAATCATGGAATTTCCCTTGAGTTACATTTTAAAATATTTTGGCAAATGGTTTATTTTAACTTACTTCATTAAATTTAAACTTTAAAGATAGCCGCATAATATCACTTCTATAGCAAATTTTTAAAAACTTTTCATAGTGACCATGTGACATTCTGTTATCCAGTTGGAAGTAATGATCTAACAAGCCTGTTATTTAAAATGTATTATTGCATTTTAATTACTTCCAACAGACAATATAAGCTATTGAATTTATAGAAATATTAGTTACTCTTCTTGATTTTCTTGAAATTGTACTCTTCTCAATTCTTCAATCTTGTAAAAAGTAGTACATAATATCATACTTGATGGGAGAATTTTTAGTCATGTTATATTCAAATTTCTTCATATGAGTATATATATAAAATGTTTGGTTGTTGCAATGTGATTTCCATAAAACTTAATGATATAGTCATTATGAAAATACTTTTGTTTGAAAGAATGGAATGATATAAAGCATTCAAACAAAAGATTATTATTTTATAGGAATTTTTAAAAATCAAATAAAGTACTGTACTTTTTTAAGTAAAACTAAAATTTTTATTAATAATGGGGTCTTTTTAATATTCAGGTATCCTGATTAATTTCATCTTCTCTGAGGTATATTAATAAAAATCAAATTTTATAATATATAAGTTTAATTTTTCAGTAATCTTAAGTGTATAATTCATGTTTTTAAATATATTTGAATACATTTTTAAAACACATAACATGGTTAACAATCTGTCAAATTCAGAAATAAAGGAAATGTAATGAAAATATATTTGAAAAATTAAAAAAATAATGATTTTTCAAGGAAAATTATAATAATTTTATACTTCAGCAACAATTTTCTATCCAGAATATTTTCAGTTTGTGAATAAATAAGTATTTTGGAGATAATTAAAAATAATCAATCTTCAATCTGTTACATTTGACAAATGTTTTAATACAACCAAAATTCTAAATATAAATTTGAATTTATAAAAATCTAGACTATTCAAAATATAGGAAAAGGTCCATTATTCATGTGTTAATTAATTTACAAAATCATAGAGATGGTAAAAGACAACTGGCAGATGAATTGCTGATCTTGGGGAGATGTCCTAATAGTCTGTCAATTGACTGAGAAAACCTATAGTAATAGTAGTATAGTCTAAAATCATCATTGGCTGTTAATTGGTTTGATTCAGCTTAGAGTATTCTGATGGTTGCCAAAGGTTGGAAGTTAACTCAATTACCAGACAGTTTTCTTTTATCATCTTTGATGATTTGGTAAATCAGTTATTTAAATTATTACTAAGTACAAATAAAAAAACATATTTAATTCAAAAATTTTTTTAATCCAATTCAACTTATTTGATTGTCCAAAATTTTCAAAATTAAAGTAATTAGTTGTTATGAACAAAAAATGTTTAAGAAAACATGGAACATTTAGTTTATTTGACTGAATTAATAACATGTTTTGCAGGTTTCATCTTTTCTTTTTGTTTGTCTTCCTACAAACTTTTAATGACAGTGATGTTTGTTTCATTCACTGATGATTGTTTTTGGTTTTTAAATATTCAACAATTCAGAGATTTCAGATTGAATAATTTATTTTGTTTTAAAAAGAAACTTTTACTTGCAGCATGAAGAAATATTTTAACTAAAGAATTTGTTGTTTTACTAATTTTATTCCTAATTGTCCCAGGTTTCTATAATTAAATTTAATAAGACAATTTCCAACAGATCATTAATACTTTTTAGATCCAGTAGACAAATTCTTGGGATTGGCCAGAGCTCCGAAATCCATAGATATTAATGATTATAATAATAATAATGAAAGCCCTTTTAACGAGATTGCAGGAAATGAAATTTTTTCCTTTCAGCAATGGTGTGGTTCTCATGAATGGGATGGTGTAATTTAAATGAAATTAATGTTCTATTTATTATTTAGGATACTTGCCAAATTGGATGATTTAGGTTTATATTTATTTATAAAAAAACTTGCCATAAAAAATTAAAATAAAGGTTTAAAATTTTATCAATACTTATTTTAAAATAAGTTTTTTTTCAGCTGTCTAATATATAAATATGTAGTATTCAGAGATAGAACAATGAATTTAATAATCATAATTGAATTCCATACAGGTTGGGATGAATAAGGTTTTATTACATATGATAATTATATTAATCTAAAAAAAAAAAACGAAACTACATGATGTTAATTGGTGTTTTTAATAGGTTTGATACCAGAACACCATCATTCTAAAATTATATAAATGTTATCGTTTGTTTCAAACTTTATTATAAGGTTTCTAATGCAGAAAAATTATTGTTAGGAATATTCTGTTGAATGTTAATTATACAGAAATATTAAAATACAAGTGTTGTGATTGCAGTTAAATTTCTTAAATATTGTAAAGTTTAATCTCAAAAAAAAATCAATATTAAACTTATTGTATGATTTAAGAAATTTTCTGTTTAATACACAATTTTTTCCCTTGTTTTATACTGTACTAAATTTTTACAAGTAATTTCAGAATGCAATGGCTTTCAACATTATTTAAAATATTTTTAAGATAATTCAGATCATTAATTTTCAGAGAAATTATTAAGGTGATTTGTTAAGTGCTAAAAATAAAATATCAAATAATAATCTTAAATTAATTAAATAAGTTATTGATCATAATTTAGAAAAATTATTTCTAAAATTTATACACAAAATATTCTAAAAGAACATGCTACCATAAACATAAATTTTTAATAATATAAGTTGCCTAGCAGATTCATTATTAATTTAAAAACATTATTGAAAATTTGTCATTTATAATAAAATTTGATTAATACCAAACATTTTAAAAACTATCCAATTTTATAATATAATTTACATAAGCAGACAATTCAGAAATAAAAATTAATATTAAAAATAATTAAATTCACAATTTAAAGTTTAAACAAATGTTATAATCTTTTAAAAAATTTTACAGTGTAAAATACATTGAAATTAATTTAATCTATATAATTTCAAAGACAGTTAACCCTTATACAAAATACATGTGAATTATTAGGTGGATAAATGTAATAAATTACCCTAGTATTATGCTGATCTATAATAGTTTTTAGTAAGAAAACTAAATTATAGTTTTTAGTGTTAAATTTTATAGTTAAGGAAAAATAGTAGAAAATTACAATAGATCTATAGTTAGTTTTAAAAATGAAATCAATGCCATGAATTTTAGCATTTGAGAATTTTTAATTCCAGATCACCATCACCAGAACCAATTTATAACAGTGAAGGAAAAAGGCTAAATACGAGAGAATATCGTACAAGGAAAAGATTAGAAGATGAAAGACACACGCTTATTCAAGAAATGTATAAATTTAATACAGATTTTAAACCACCTGCTGATTATAAGTAAGTAGTTAATTTAATGTTATACAGTTGATCCCCCCTATAACACTGTTGATAATTCCGTTTTATATGAATTCCATGTTGTATGAGTCACTTAGATTTTACAAATATGTGTGCCTGGCTGTGAATTGCTCACGTATTTGAAAAATCTAAGTGACTTGTACAACATGGAATTCATATAAACAGAATTATCAACAATGTTATAGGGGAGTCAACTGCATTTCTCTCGAAGCATATATCAAACTGAAAATAAAATTAATTATAAAAAATTTATAAACAATTATAATCAGTAACAGTAATATCTTTAAAGTTAAATAATCCTTTTATCATTAGGGAGTGAATCCTTTATATTCATTTTCTAATAATTTCTTTATATTAAGTGCTTTACTTCAGTATTTTATCTCAAATTACGATAATACTTTTGAAAACTACATTACTTTATTTCAATAATACTAGACTTTTGTAATTAACCGCATGGCATTCATTAGTATCAGAGAAAACATACTTGAACATTCCTAGATGTTCTAAAATATCTAGGAATGTTATGTATGGATGTAAAAATGTTTAATTTAAATAGTTTTATTAATATTTAAAAAAAATTATGCATGTAATTCAAAAATATTTTTATATACTGAATGATCAGTAAACTGGATTGTAAAGAAATGAAAATAGTTCTAAGTTATTAATAAAGATGAAACATACCCAGTATTGTAAAAAAATAATTGCACATGCTTTTCAAAAATTTCTTCATCTTGAAATTTATTTTCATATTTATATAAGCAGTGAAGTTTTACAAAATTTTACAAGCATCATTGTTGACATAAAATGAAAGAAAGATTATTAAATTTATTTATCAAATAGCACTTTAATTTTCATCATAATTAAATACTATTATTGTAACTTGAATTTTTTTTTTTAAGTAAATATTCTGGAATATATATAATATAATAATATATATTATATATATAATTACTATATAATATATATAGATTTCTATCTCTACACACACACAAATAAACATATATATGTTTGTTTGTGTGTAGAGATAGAAATCTCAAAAATAATAGTTT